TCTCTCTCTCTCTCTTTTTTTTTTTTATCTATCTATCTATCTATGTTTCTATATGTCTATCTGTCTATCTATCTATCTACCAATCTATCTATGGGGAGGTGTGGAGAAGTGGGCCACACTCTGAAGAGCCAAACCTAGCCATATAGGGGGTATAGTGCAATTTTGCATATTATATCATATGGAGAAAAAAAAGAAAACTAACAAAAATTGCTCACAGTACAACGAAGCAACTTCTTTTATTTTTCAGAACGGTTTGAGTGAATGGAGTGGAAAAGACGTTTTCATCAAGAAAAGTAGAAATACTTGATTTTTGAAACTCGCAACTTTAAAAAACAGAGATGAGCAAAACAGATCAGGTAAGTGCACAGAATTCTACACTTAAGTGTAGCATTCTGTGGGTAAGTGTAACCATAGTTAAAGAACTTATCTAATTACTTATTTTTCGTTTGTTCTCCATATTTTTAACTGCCAGTTGAAGGAAGCATACATTTGAATAGTTTAAACTACCTTGCAATGGGGAGAAGTGGGCCACCTCAGCCCAGTTGTAGAAAATAATCTTCAACACATTACCATGTTATTTTAGTCATATTACCTATTTTGTTAGAATATAAGATAATGGTAGAGGCTCAGATCTGGATCTAGATTTTGTAAAACAAACCTCGGGTAGTATAGTAGTCTACCCTTCCGGAGTTTTCCCCTCATTAATTTGTACTCTATTGTGACACTGTACCCGCGTTTTTTCTAGTCTTTTGGCATGAACCAGCGTCCCGAAGACTCGCATTATATGTTGTATTCTTTTTTTTCTTCTGTTCAATCTCTAGGGACAATCCTACGTAGTATCGGCATAGGCACAGCCTTACCTGATACAATGAAAGATGCAGTGGCAGTTGTCAGAAATGGAGTGCCTTAGAGGAAAGTTACATTTTATTATTATATGCCTTCACGACATTGCTCGCACTACCCTTCAAAACATTGTGAAGAAAGCTCTTCATTGTGATCTTGAAATGTGTCGAAATTATCGTCACAGTTAAGTATTCAAAGTAGAACAGGGGGCGGAATTGACGCAGTACATGTTGAAATGTGCCAAAAGATCCTATGGTTTGACAACTGCTACCTTCGGGAAAATCGTCTATGAAGTCGCTGTTGCAAATCACCTAAGACCTTTTGTACCCATCTTTGTGGGATGATGCAAAATGTGCCGGAAATGAGTAGCAGATGGGCTTTATCTGGAGACATGCCTAATTCAGCTTTCGACAACCAGAGGCTACCTCATTGGGAAAAGCCACAGCTTTCAATAGACATTCTGTAGGAAGGTTTTTCAACTTTCTGCAGGCTCTTTCTAATGACCTGGGTGTCTCTGGAGCTCAAATTAAATGCTCAATCTTGACGAAACAGGAATCACAACAGTTCACATAGTTCCAAAAGTCATCGGACCTAGAGGTTCTAAACAGTTGGGCCAGAAAACATCAGCAGAGCGTGGCGTGGTGTTCGAGTTCTCAACAAAAACCACCCAGTTTTATTATGTTGGGGTTGTTGTCAAAGTAAGAGACGATGTTCGGGTTGCTTTTTTCAGATGAAAGGGCTAAAAGAGCCCACACTTCTGACATCTGTTTCCATGTTGACTTTGGACACTTTAGTGGTCTTAAGCGTCGCTGTACTGGCATCAACATATCACAAAGACGAAAGCTAGGAGACTTTGATCGTGCCAGAGCTATGGCATGGCTGCAAGATGGAGTTGAACATAAGAAGCTGTCAGAAGGCTTGCAGTGTCCCACTCTGTCATTGTCCGCTTGAGGCAGTGCCATCATGCCACTGGATCAGCCCAAGACCGCTCACGTGCAGGTTGACCCAAGAAGACCACTCAGAAAGTTTGCAAGTGGTCCTTAACTTATGTTGAAATCTGTATCTATCTATCTCTTATTTCTTCAGTCTCACCGTCGGGCATACACATGCACGTATCAGAAAAGTAACAGTTCATCATTATGACAAGAATGGATTTGTTAATAAGCAATGCTTCAGCTGGTTTTTGCTGTTTGTTTGTTTGTTTGTTTGTTTGTTGTTTGTTTCTTTGTTGTTGGTGGTTTGTTTGTTTGTTTGTTTGTTTGTTTGTTTGTTTGTTTGTTTGTTTGTTTGTTTGTTTGTTTGTTTGTTTGTTTTGGGGGGTTG